GATAACAAAGATTATCATAGGTTTTAATAGTGTTGATTTTTAATGATAAAAGATTATCCAAGGATATAATAGTGTTTAAATTATTGAAAAATATTGATCTAAAGAAAAATATCAAGTAGTAATAGTATAAGTGGACTTCCAGGATGGCTTACATAAAAAAACAGAAGGAGGCGTGGGTGTGATTGTGGCTTAGGAAACATTAGTGTGGGTCAGGGGTCAGGAAAATTTCTTTTATAAAGAACCGGGTAGTAAGTACCTAAGTCTCTGTTGCCACCACTCCACCCTGTTAGTGCAAGTGCAGTGTGGCGACGGCGCATTGCAGAGTGTCCCCACCATCCTGACTGGTGGAACGTGGTGTCCAAGTGAATCCATTCAACTCGGTGCCCCAGGAGCGGCCTGATCGTGACGGGGTAGAGCACTGTTTACTCTGGCTAGTAAGACTCCGAGTATTTGCAAAGTAATGAGGCCCATTTTTCATTTGTGTTGTTGGCAAGGCGTGATGTTTCCTTCATTTCTCGTGGGCTCGGTTAATAGGGTTTGTGTCCAAAGGACACAGTCTCATGAGTATCACGGTTCAGTTCCTGGATACTGAATATCGTAAAAGAGTGAGTTCAAATCCCACCCCCTTCCTTCCTTACCTCCTGTATTTGTGGACTGATTAATGATCCTCTTAGGGCCTCAATTTCCTGCTTCATAAAATGAGGATAATAGCACCTCCCCTGCAGGGTTATTACCAAGATAAAAGGAGATGCTGAGTGTGGAAGTTTCTAGAATGGTGGCCAACACATTGAGTAAATAAATGTTCCCTTTCCCACTCTCCTTTTTTCCCTTCTCTGTCTCAGTTCTATGCGTTTGATGAAGATGCCCATCTGGTTCCTATCTAAGCCATTGTTAAAGAATGCTAACCAATCTGGGAATACCCAGAGCCCTGCGACTTATCACTAGATGCCCCCTGAAAAAAATTTCTAAATTATTTAATTATTACCCTTTGAATATGCGTTTCAATCATTTACAAAACCACTGAAATATATGTCATTCTCCCAATATTTCTTTTATTCTCCAGAAGACATGAAGAAATGACTGAAGGTCCACTTTGTCTCTGAGAATGGTACTGGGCACCAGATTCAAACACAGATAAGATACAGCCACTGCCCATCACAGAGCCCACAACCTTGGTGGGGAGAGCAAGATGGTCAGCAAAGAGATGCCCATAATTTTCGCAGAATTTTGAGGACACTCCTGTGAGCCGAGGCAAGGAGTTACCTGAGTCAAGAATTAAAAGATAAATAGAAACAAAAAGTGAAGTCAAAATGGGAGCCCGTTCCAGGCCAAGAGCACTGGACGCACAGTGGCAGGTCACTGAGCGGAGACAGAGGCGAGGGGGAGGAGGAATGAGCTTAGTTAATAATTTAGGCCAAATTGCATACGGTGTGGAACTCTCACCAGGTTTAACCCATGGTGCTTGTAGGCTGATGGGCAGGACTTCTCTTCAGCAGTGAGAAACTTGTCCTGTCTTCTCCGTGGCAGCTCTGGTATATAAAACCAGCGTTACTGACACTGATGTCCTCTGGGTAGCCCCTTCCTGCCCACCAACTTCAGGGAGCCACGTGAGATGAGATGCTGCACTTGAGTGGGTTTGGTTCTTGGCCTTGAGCAGTACAGCTCAGACCAGGCTAACTGGATTCCCCATCGTCGTGTTTTTCCTGGAGCAGTCTGCACTGGTTTTGTGGACTGGAGAGACATTCGGAGTCCTCACCCCAGAGGCGACTAGATCCAGGTTTTAGATAGTTGCCCTGACAGCAGTTTGGAGAACAGACGGCCACTGACCTTTGGAAGGCCATTTCGATAACTAAATGGGGGTCTCATAGGTCATGCCAACTGGATAGTCCACATGCACCAGCGCTATTAAAAAGGCATGACTCACCCAGTTTTGCAATGAGGATGCTGAGTCTCAAAGAGGCTGAATAATTTGCCTCATGTCAAGAATTTTGTAAATAGCAAAACATGGACTTGCATCTGTCGGACTCCTCCAGAGGAGGTCCCAGCATAACCCTTCACCTCGTCCTCAGCCCACTCCTCCACCCTGTCTCTTGAGTGGTTCTCCGTAGTTGTATGGGTGGGTTTATCTGGGAATGGTCTTCCTCAGTATCTTTCCTGACACATACTTAACCTTCAGTGGATATTTGTTAATAAAATATTGTAAAACCCTTCTGATGGATTCACCTAGATTCCTGGGAAACACCATCTTTCTCCAAAACGAAAACGAGGCCTTCTAGCTTATACTAGATTCACACTTGAGGAAGAGGACCTGTCTGGCCGGGGGTCTCCAACAGTTTCTGGAGCACCCCCACCAGGCGGGTTTTGCCTCCATGACTGATGGCTGTGTCACAAGGCTGGTAGCACGTTTTTGAGGCCCCCCCCCAAAACAGCTGGTTCCTCCATACAATCCCCTTCTATTCAAGACAGTCTCGCATTTCCCCTCTTTTTAAACATTTTATCTTTATTTATCTTCATTACAAATATAGATAATCATAATATGAGCTTATTACCACCTGTATAAACAGATTCATGGATTTCACCAGGACATTTCTCACGTGCATATTTAGCTGGAGGAAGAGAAACCACAGCTTCTTGTTTATCACCAACCACCAGCGAGGATGCGCCTCTGACCTTCCTCTGCAAACTATTGCTCTTTTCTTTGGGAGATTTCTGCCTTAAGGGAGTCATGCTTTCAACTTACCCCCCCCCACAAAAAAAAAAAAAAAAAAGATTCTTTCCACTTGTTTTTCATTCCCAGCTCTTCATTTTTATATTCAAAGATCTGTGCCTGCAGAGGAACCATTGCTAATTCAGCTATAGAGAGGGGGCAGAGGCGGGTTGGGGTTGGGGTTGTGGCTCAGTGGTAGAGCGCTGGCCTAGCACGTGGGAGGCACTGGGTTCGAGCCTCAGCACCACATGAATAAATAAAGATGCCAGTGTCAGATATTCTGTCCAGTCGTCCCAGAGGACATCTCTCAGTGCTCCTCTTTCCTCCCCCCATCACCCTTGCTATGAATTAGCTGGGGAATGGACCTCCTCCAGCCATGTAATAGGATGCTGCACTTTTTCTAAATATGTGCTTTCATCCCCGTCTGTGGTTGAAGGTTTGATGTTTCTAAGTTGATTGAGTTTGCTGCCTTGGACATCAGAGCGCGAAATGCGTGAACTGGATTTTCTGTTTGTGTCGTGGTGGAGTCACGTGAGAGATAAAAAGAGAAGAACAACTCTTTAGAAACAGTGAAAGGAGGAAAGTTAATTGAATTTGAATTAGACGTAGCAATAATAGAAAACGTAACTAAAAACTTCAAAGAAAACTCAGGCTTGTATACATCATATGATCTCTTTTGGATAAAATATCTGAATGTAAAACTTACTGAGGGTGTAAATAACCTCACAGTCCGTTTTCTTGTGAGTGTCCAACACTTTGGGATGGTAAGATACATTAGGCGTTCTAAGTATCTTTAAATGGAGGATAGAAATTCCACTTCCAGTGAATCTGAAATAGAACCGGAGTCCAGTTCAGTGGCAGAGTGTTTAGCTAGCATGTATGAGGCCCCAGGTTCAATCCCTGACCCTGGGAAAAATGGCAAAAGAAATATGTATGTGGCCTGGGCTTGAAGCTCAGTGGTAGAGCACTTGCCTAGCACATGTGAGGCACTGAGTTCGATCCTCAGCACCACATTAAAATAAATAAATAAAATAAAGGTATTGTGTCCATCTACAACTAAAAATAAAAGAACATATTTTAAGAAAACTATGTATTTCTGTTTCCCTATTCTCATTATTCTTGCTGAGCTTCAAAGTCTGTCATTATAAGGATTCTAAATTGCTATAGGATCCTCAGATAGACTGTATTAAGAAAATAACTATTTTCCTCATATTCAGTGATATGTATTTCTTAATTTTCTAAGAATCAGTGTATCATACTTAATTTTTTTTCCATACAGTGGATTGAACCCAGGGGCATTTAACCACTGAGCCACATCCCCAGCTCTCTTTTGTGTTTTATTTATAGACAGGGCTTCACTGAGTTGCCCAGGGCCTCGCTAAGTTGCTGAGGCTGGCTTTGAACTCACCATCCTCCTGCTTCAGCCTCCCTAGCCACTGGGATTACAGGCGTGTGCCACTGTGCCTGGCTATCACCTTTCTTTAATTGAAAAATGCAGTTGATCTTAGTACAGTTGATCGTAGTTGGCTCTGAGAACATCATCATCCATCTTAGACAACTCACCTACAAAAGCAAACAGACAAAAGAACAGGTCGGTGTTGCCTGCAGCTGCCACCTGATGCCGTCCTTGGGAGAGAACTTTCCCTGACCACGTCTGCCTGGTGTCACAAGTGGGTCTCCAGGCTTCTGTCGTCGAAGCTCTTTGTCTTTCTCTGCATCCCATACCCAGCATTCCAAGCCACCTCTCCCACACACAGTCCCCACCCATCACCCTGCAGAGCGTTTGAGACCTAGTGCCTTGCTGGTTGCCTTTGTGTTCTGGAACTCTGGCTGCACCGTGGGGGAGTCCTTTACCCTCCCCTGAGAGACACACAGGCTGCAGACGAACCTTCCTTGGGTCCTTGGAGATATCAATCTGAATCAGAAATATCTGCAGAATTAGAATTCCTTTCTTACAAATCCTAAATTGTGGTGAGCACCCATCAGATCTTCCACCTTAACGGATGGCAAGTGTGCAGGTCGGTGGCCATGAATCCATCCACACTGCTGTGCCTCCGTGACCGTCGTCAGGGAAATGGGACTCTTATTTCCTATTCAGGGCCACTACCACAGTGGTGGTCAGGGAACCGTGCCGTCCTGAAACGATGATCTGTGGAAATGGATTTAGATTTACATCAGCTGGCGGACGCCTTGTCTCTGGGGACCAGGCAACTGGATTTTAAAATGGCACCAAGGCCTTTCCTGGCTGAGTTAGCTAACACACGTTTCCTCCTCCCCCCTTCTCTTCCAGCAGCTCCGAGCAGCGAGTCCCCTGTTCCACTTCTTACCACAGCTCTGGTTTGCACTCGAGTGACGGTGTCACAAAAGCAGGACCTATGGGCCTTCCGGAAATAAGACAAGTGCCAACTGTTGTGATTGAATGTGATGACAATAAAGAAAATGTGCCTCATGAATCGGACTATGAAGACTCTTCTTGCCTGTACACAAGAGAAGAGGAGGAGGAGGAGGACGACGAAGAGGACGACAGCTCCCTGTACACCAGTACGTGTATCTGGGCCCTCCTCCCGGGGGCGGGCAGCATGGTGCTGGGGAGCTGGCCCAGCTGCCCGAGGGTCCCGGGGTCCCGGGTCTGCTGTGAACTGACTGTTCATGGGGAGCCCAGTTAGCCTCTGGGAGCCTCGGGTCCTTCTGCAGTAACACGAGAGGGCAGGTGGCCTCCAAGTGCCCGGGAAGCTCTGAATACTGCAACACCACTTAGATGGCTCCTAGGTGGCTCTTAGAGGGCTCCTAGGTGGCTCTCTTGGTTACACCCTTAGGATACCACACTTCCCTCAGAATGAAAGGGAGAGGCTTAAAAGTCTCTTCCCTCCTAGAAAAGACACAAATACTGACCACTGGGGTTGCAGCAGATATTTGTGAAAACACACCTCACCAACTTTAAAGTCCTGAATTTAAATTTGTCATTTAAGACCTTTAAGTATGCTAAGAGACAAGAGAAGAAATAGAAAAAGCCAACAGTCTATCACTCTGGCCATGAATAATAAATGTCAGTGATGTGAGTACAGTCTCTCACTTGGCCACCTTTATAATAAATGAATTTGTGATAATAGCAAACATTTATTGAGTAAATACGGTGTGCCTGAAAACTTGCTAAGATTTGTATCCTCTTAGCAACACGTTACAACAGCTTTAGGACATAGACACCATTGGCCCCTATTTTACAGATAAATAAATGGAGGCGGGAAGTTGCCCACATCCTGGGATGGTATTCCAAAAATCCCTTGGAAACCAAACCAGTGGAGGATGAAAGAAGAAAAGCATTACTAAATAAAATCCAAAAGAATCCACAAGCTTGTCAGTCAGGGTGGTGCACACCTGTGATCCCAGTGACTTGGGAGGCTGAGGCAGGAGGATCACAGGTTTGAGGCCAGCCTTGGAAACCTAAGAGAGACTTGCTGGTATCTTCCTCTCGCTCTCTCATTAGCTAGCTTCATTTGAGACTGGGTAAGAGGCCTGATGAGCTCTGAAATGAGGCAAGTCATTTCACAGAGAGGAGCAGCCAAAGACCCCGGTGATGTATGACCGGAAGCAGCTGCTCGGCCTGTTTGCCTGGTGGTGTCCGGACATCGGGAGGCTTTGCGCCAGGGTTCCTTAGCCTTGCCCTCCTGACTGTTGGGACCAGGTCGTACTTTGTGGTGGAGGGCTGGGCTGTGCTCTGCCCTGAAGGACGGTTGGTGGCTTTCCTACTGCCACCCCAACACTGTTCTAGACTTTACCAGATGTCACCCTGGGAAGAAAAATCACACGGGGTTCAGAACCACAGATTTATCCCAGATTTAAGGAAGCCCTGCCCTGGCTGCTCAGGAGCCCGTATGTTAAAAGGGAGTAAACAGTGACAGCCTTGCTGTCCTCACCTCCACCCCGGCCCCCACAAGCCCCACATCGTCCCCAGCTTCATGCTCCTTCACTGCCCCAGCTCCAGGGCAGCTGACCCCTTCTGCCCCCGGGAAGCTCCCGTCCTGCACGTCGCCCCTGTGCCTGCCGCCTGGTGCAATCTCACTCCTCCCCCTGGGGTCAGCACCTCCTCCGTGAACCTTGCTCTAGTTTCTTCAGGCCCTTGTCCCTTCTCCTCCTTGTTTCCGGAGGGCAGGGGCTCCGTCACAGGCTCCTGTGACTCACCATGTCCAGCCACAGTGCTGGGCGCAGAGGTGGTCATGGCGGGAACACGGGGAACCGAGGCCTTCGCCCCCCAGGTGCTCAGCCCTTTGGGTGTTTCTTCCTGCCTATGGCGGACCGCCCGCAAGGCCCATCGCTGGGCCCCTGGGCGCATGAACTGACCCGTTTCTCCCCCCTGCAGGCTCCCTGGCCATGAAGGTCTGCAGGAAGGACTCCTTGGCCATCAAACTCAGCAACAGGCCCTCCAAGCGAGAACTGGAGGAAAAGAACATCCTGCCCAGGCAGACGGACGAGGAGAGGCTGGAGCTGAGGCAGCAGATCGGCACCAAGCTGACCAGGTAAGACAGCAGCACCCTCTGCCCCCGGCACCAGGACCCGGCTACTCGGATGTTAGCAGAAGCTTATGGTCCCAGCCAGCAGCCAGTCCCTGTGCCCCTTAATAACTTCCTGCTTTAAATAGCCCATGGAAAGCTTCCCATGTTGTCCCCAGAGCTGCTTCTACTGTCCCTCCTCTTTACTCAGCCAATATTGGAAATGTCATAGGAGTGGGGTTGCGATCAAATCAGCCACTCTCTGCCGCGGTGCCACGTGGCTGGTGGTGATGCCTCCTTAGTCCTCTGGACTCTCCTTCGGTTCGACTGAAATTCCCACGAATGCCCCTCACCCTTCCTCTCATGCCTCCAGAGGGCTCGGGGACAGTGGTCCTGGCCTCCTGGGGTCTCTTCTCCCAGGCTACATACAACCAGATCTTATTGCTGGGGGTGGGGACGGGTGGGTAGTGTGGCTCTGGGCTGCCTCCTGACCCAGCTCACTCAAGTTTACACAAAATGCAAATAGAGCTCCCCTTAGGGGGCTCGGTGAAAGGGAAGGCGCAGACCCTGACCCTAGCCGCCCTCCCCCATGCTCAGCTCCACCTGCTGAGAGTGGGCATCCTGGATTATGACTCCTGCCCCTCGACTCCCATTTCCCTCCCTTTGCTGCAGTTCATGCAGAGCCCCAGGCATATCGGAGGCCAATGGAAGACTGCTCTGCAGTTAGAGTGAGATGCCAGCACATCTGGTGCCCAGCACAGCTTCATGGGTGGAGGGAGAGAGAGCAGGAGAGATGTGGGAGGCGTGGCAGATGAGTGAGGTTGGCACATGCTTGTCCTCCGTCGGCCCTGCCACCTGGTGTTGACTGACAGAGTGGAAAGGGACATGGTTCCAGGGCATACTCCAAAGAGAGACAGCCCCTGGCCTCCCATGCCTGGACACGCACCACCATCATGACCTGGCAGGCATGGCCGCCAAGCCCGGAGGCGTCAGAGATAGAGACCATCCATGACCAGAAAACAGTCTCTGTATTCAAGACTTTGTCCTGGGAATCTCTCAACCCTCTCTCTTTTAAAGCAGAAAGACTGCTTAGAATTCCTAAAATCCACTGAAGGTTTTCCTGTAGGAGGCCTCCGTTGCCAACCTTCTTTCTTTATGGTTAATAGCAAAAGACAAGCCGACTGGAGAGAGAGAGAGAGAGAGAGAGAGAGAGAGACCGAGGTGGAGGTGGAGGTGGAGGTGGAGAGGCAGCTTTGGGGTATTCAAAGCACTGAGTTGGCCCCCTTCTCTGAATCCGTATCATCTATGTTCACTCTTTTAACTGGAGTCTCTTTTTTGTGGGGAGACTCTGACAGGGGCCGTGATTAAAGAAGTCCAAGTATGTAGCAGGTTGAGGTTGGGTGGAGTTCAATAAATCAGGCAAAGAGACCAAATCTCACCCCAAAGTCATGTTTGATTCACATCTAAAGAGTTTTATGGATGATCTCGTTTAGAATGAGATCTCAGCTCCTGTGCTTCCAGAAGCTGACCCTCATCCCAGGGCAGACTGAAGGGGAAGTGAGAGAGCCAGGGACCAGGGTGACCGTGACAGGCAGAGCCATCCTAGAATCAGCAGCTTGGCTTCTAGGAGCTATTGGCCCTCCTTGGGGCTTGCACTAGGTCATCTGAGCACCACGTGCAAAACGTGGGTTTCATCATTGCAAAAGGGAACTCAAAGAATGTAGAAATCTGTTGTAGGGTTTGCATTTCTGAAGCGGCCAGGCTGTAGCATTCTCTGACCGCGTGAGGCAGCCGCCAAGTACTGGAAACCTTCAGCTCCTGGAAAAGCACGTAGCCAAGTCTGCAAGTCCTCATGGAGTGAGCAAGACAGAAGCCACAATCTTAGCCTGACAGTTGTAATAGCATAAGAAAAGAAAAAAAAAATAGCCTAGCATTCCACAAAGAATCCCAAGGTAGGAGGAGGGGACGGAAACACCAAGAAAAATGATGTCAGTTTTTGCAGAACCTTCTAGTGTTGAGGCAGTTTCTACATAAAAATGCAAGAATTTTTGCTCTTCCAAAAATATCTGCTTGATGTTGTTGGACGGATTCTCCTAAATCTCTACCGAGAGGTTACTTGGTTTTTTAATAACAAATATCTATTTCATACAGCCACTGTTGGGGAAGCGGGGACTGCAGTAGATATGAAGGTGACCAGGAGGGTGTGCACTGCTTCTGCCCCTTATGTATACACACTCCAGGACAGTATGGAGAACCCCGGGGTGAACAGGGCCGTCTGCTGCGGATGAAAGTAGTAGAATTTCTATTTAAGCTCAGTCTGTGTCGTTCTTTATAAATCTGGTTCTTTGTGTTGGTGTTATTATGTGTGTGGTACCTCAGGCCGCAGGGCTTGTCTCTTTCTTGTAAATGAAGAAGTGGCACGTGCTCACCTTTCTGCGGGTGGAGCTCTCCACACACTTTGCGTCTACTGGTCTGAGGGTCACTTTTCACGGCCGGGAGAGCAGGACTTTCCCCTCCAGTGACCTCTCGTCAGTGAAGTGCAGAGACCTCAGGGCAGTTGGTCACCCCAGCGTCGTGGTGTTGGCTGGAAGTCTAAGATCTGGGTGTCGGTGGGGCCACTTGCTTCTGGAGACTGTGGGAGGGAGTCTGTCAAAGCCCCTCTCCCGGCGTCTGCTGGTCTGCTGCGTATCCTGTCCTGCCTGGCTCTGAATATGCATCACTCCAGTCTCTGCCTTTGGTCTTCGGATCTCTGGGTCCCCGTGGCCCTCTTAATAAGGACCACATTCATATTGAATTAGAGCCCACCATCATGTCCTCCCTTTGACCTGGTGACCTCTGTAAAGACCCTGTTTCCACATTCTGTGGTGCTGGGGTTTCTGCTCTCAACATAGAAATTTGTGGGAGACAGAATCAACCTTGGATAAACATAAAGTGGGTCTACCAAGAAAAGGGACCATGGCCTCAAATGCATATGGGGACCCACAGACATTGCACAGAAGTGAAGCAGGCAGTAAGAAGATTATCGATGATGAATGTGGGGAGCTGGGGTGAGATGAAACCCCCCATGTAAAAGGAGCCATCACTATTCAGTTTCAATCCCCGACTATCGTTTTGAAGAAATGAAGGGCCAATTTGTCAGCTCTTCTGAGATATATCTCAATTTTTAAAATGAGAACTCCAATTTTTAAAAACTATTATTGTTAACCAGCTTTCCATTGCTATAACAAAATGCCTGAGATAATAAACTTATAAAGAGGAAAGGTTTATTTTGGCTCACAGTTCGGGAGGTTTCAGACTATGCTCTATTAGCCCCATTGCTATCAGGCCTGTGCAAGGTAGCACATCATGGAAGGGAGCATGTGGTGAAGCAGAGCTGCTCACCTCACGGCATCCAGGGAGCAAAAAGAGAGAGGAAGAGGAAGAGACCCAAGTCCCACAATCTATTCTAAGTGTACATCCCCAGTGACCCAAAGACCTCCCACTGGACTCCACCTCTTAAAAGTTTCCACCGCCCCCGTGGACTGCAGACTAGGCTTTAACACCTGAGCCCCTGAGGATACTTACCCAAACCATAGCCACTAGAGAGATCAAACAGTACATTTATAGGCTGAATTTAGCCCAAGGACCCCGGCTCATCCCTGGGCGCCATGGTTTCAATCTCAGACCTGACAGCCGTGATTTATCCTACTGACAGGGTGTCCACGAAGTCTCTGTGAATGCACAGCAGCAGTGTTCTGCACTTTAGACCGTCAATGGGAGCATGCCCATGTGTGTATCTGCAGCAATGTGGAATTAACATCTGTAGGATCCAGTTTATTTTGAGAGTGCTTGTTTGTGTGGCTTGACCCTGAGGAGTTGCAGCGGGGGGTTGGAGGAAGAGGTTGATGGACACGGCCCCACGGCTCACCTCTCCTTGACTCTCAGGAGCCTGGGGCTCAGGAGCCGGGGTGAAGCGCCTGGCAGGGTTGGTGTTGTGATCTTTTCTGAAGCTCTGGGAAATCGCTGAGCCCCCAGTGGTGGATGGGATGTGGGTCCTTCCTTTAGAAAGTGCTACAACCTGCTTCTCTTCTTCTTGCTTATCATGGCCACTGCAAAAGCTGCCCCAGTCTTTGTGTTTACACAAGGGGGTGAGATAGGGAAGTGGACAGGTCAGATCCTTCCCGTGAGACCTAGCCCGGACACCCTCTTTCATTTAGGACTTAATAGTAATTCTAGAAAGAAAAAAAGTATCCTAAATGTTTATATTAGACCTCTAAGTAGTACACACCGTCATCACTCCAGTGCATAGAAAACAATATGTACAGAGGATCGTGTGCTGCTTTCAATCATAATGCACCGTTCAGGGAGAAAATTGAAACCCATTTTTTATGCTCATAGCCCAGGCAATAAAATACAGTAACTCTGACTTCCAAATGTGGCTGGCGTCGTGTTTATGGTTTGGGAAAATTGATGCTGTTCAGCCCGACACGGCAGCACCTAGCTCCAAAGTGGCAATCAGCATCTCCCCCAGGAATCTAAGGTCTGATGCGAAGTGAGAGCTGGCCCCTCCCTGCGCTAGATAATTTGTTCTGCAGAGAAAACACTTTCTAAAAATAGGAATACCAATCAAAGGCTCTGTGAGTTCAGTTCAGCTTGGACTGAGGGTGCCTGGATACACATCACTGTGACTTCTCCACTTGGAGAGAGAAGGGAGGAAGATAAGGCTGGAGTGAAAGGTTTGGAGGACCTTCCGTGTACATTTGGTCCTTCCAGTTTTGTCCTCTATCGTCATCGTCATCATCGTTATTATCTTGGCTTGAAATGGGACACAGCTTAGAGAGGAAAGGAAAGAGGGCACTGGTAACTGCCTGGGTGGGAATGGCTCCGGTTGGGGGGACTTTTCCAGGGATTGTGACACCTCACATGAAACCTTCATGAGGGAGCACGTCAAGTCCGGATGAGTGTGACTCGATGTAGTTCCTGAGCAGCGTGGCATTTGTGTTACAAGCAGGGGGACCCATCGAGGAACAAGCTACACTCAGATCACG